TCCAGGAACAGGTCTTGCATAACCGTTGACAAGGAGCAGTCGGCCGCGCAATGAGTTCTGTGTGTCCAGCGGAGGAGAACATGGACCGTTGGTGTGCAATGCTACCGTCTTTCCCCGAACACAACGCACGCTGATGATGAATGCATGCTACCGTCTTCCCCCGAACACAACGCACACTCATCTTGGCTGTACCGGACCGGAAATATCGCTTGTATACGTTCAATTTCAGGGTGCGTTATGTTCGGGGGAAGACTGCAGCTGTGTTTCAGGTCCGGTACAGCCATAATGAAGGTGCGTTGTGTTCGTGGGAAGACGGTAGGGATGGATGGGGATGGCTGCGCACAGCTTGACCCAACCACCACAGTCGAATGGGGATGGCGATGAGGAGGCGATGGGGATGGCGAGGGTGGCATAACACAGGCCCTCGGCGTTGGTGATGGTGTCTTCCTGAAGACGGGATGGCGATGGCGATAGCGATGGTCATGAATGACACCGCGTTCGACACCACGAAATGAGAACCAGTGCAAAGATGTCATAGTGACGATGGAGGCGGAGGGGTAGGGTTGCTTTGCTTTGCAGCAGACCTATGATAGCGGAACCTACTTTGTGACAAGAGAGTTGAACCGTTGACGTCAACGGTAGCCAAAGGGATTTACAAATGCCCACGCTGCACACCTGTCGAAGAGCCAACGATAGACTTCCGTAGCAATAAAACGATGCAACCCGGCAAAATCATCCACGGCCAACTCTCTCTCTCTCTCTCTCTCTCTCTCTCTCTCTCTCTCTCTCTCTCTCTCTCTCTCTCTCTCTCTCTGTGTCTCTGTGTGTGTCTCTCTCTCTGTCTCTCATCTTTTCCTGCCCCTATCTCCTTCTGTCACGCACGTAACTTCCGCTCACAGACAAAGTTTGTGTGCCTTTACCTCTCTCTCTCTCTACACATATGCAGCATATCCTATCAGCGCTGAACCATTCCCCACTTCTCCCCACTTCTCCATCAAGGCAAGGCATGATCATTATAATATAAATCTCTATCTATATATATGGGTAAATATCTTTATCAACCGGAAAAAAATATTCCTTATCAACAGAAAAAGATCGTCATCTGCTGAAATACAAGACGCTGCCAGTGTCCTTAGGAAGGCCCCACGTTCAATTGATGCCCCTTATCTTCCAATCAGGGAATGGAAGGGGATAGAGGTCAATAGCATTTTAGAACCGCGAGCACCATTGATTTAACTACGGTTAAATTTATTAACCCTCAGTAAAAAAGAGGGTTCGCGACCTCGGGCTTTCCTGTCTCCATCCCTCACCCAAACCCCAAACAACCCCCCCCTCTGCAAAACCAGATGACCCCTTGATCTTACGTTACTGAACCGCCTCTCTATGCGGAAATTAACCTCTAAGCTCCTCCTCCTTGTTGTTTTCTATTATTTTTCTGCTTTCTTTTTCTTTCCAACCCCCAACCGACCCCCCCATCCAGCCACCCACCCCATCCCCACCCTCCTGCACAAACTGTCCATCTAATCATTTTTTTTTTTCACTGCGGTCTTCAACTCGAATTTTCATATATGAGGAGAGCCAGCGAAAGACCTCCGATTTCAAAATCCTCAAAGAAGTGACCACAAACAATGTGTGTTGCTTGATTGATCGACAAGATTCCAGAACTTAAGCTAGCATGCAGAGTCCTTCCTTCGGTTGGTTGGGGGCATGGGAAAGGCGGCAATTTGCCGTCTCAAACCAGGGAATGGGAGCAAGGGAATTTTTTTTGGGGGGGAAAGGGCCATGGGTAGAGGGGGGGGGGATGGGAGGGGGGGGGGGGGGGGGGCATGGGAAGGGGTCATATGCAGGGATTTAAGAGTAATCTCATTTTTTTTGGCAGCAGTTATCCAGAACAAACATTAACGTGGGAACGAGTACGCAGGGCTTTAGGACACATTCAAAGCAGACTAAGCCTTTCGGAATATATTCGTTGAAAGAGATGTGCTTGATGGAGTGGAAAAAAAGGCACTGAACGATACAGAAAAGAAAAACAAATGCGTCAAAGAAGAAAAGAGGGAGAGGAGGAGGAGGAGGAGGTCCACTGGCAAGGACCACACGCACAATTGGCAAAGAGTGCCACTTCAAATCAGAAACAAGGGGGAGGAGAAGGAGAAGGAGAAGGAGAAGGAGGAGGAGGAGGAGGAGGAGAAGGAGAAGGAGGAGAAGGAGAAGGAGAAGGAGAAGGAGAAGGAGAAAGTCCCACGTTGCTTTTCGTAAGGACAATACGCGCAATCGGCGAAGAGTGCAGCTTCAAAGAAGAAACAAAGAGTGCAACTTCAAAGAAGAAACAAGGAGGAGGAGGAGGAGGAGGAGGAGGAGAAGGAGAGGGACGACGTGCCTTGGCAAGTCAAGACGCAAAATTGTCGAAGAGTGCACCTTCAAAGAAGAAACGAGGAGGAGGGAAAGAAGATGGAGGAGGAGGAGGAGGAGGATAGGTAAACCCCAAGGAGATAGAAAAGAAGATATCACAACAACAGAAAAAAGAAAACAAGCAAGAAGAGGTGGGAAAAAGAAGACAGATTAAAGCAAAGAAAGAAAGGCTAAAGACATGATTACGGTTGGTGGTCAGATCCCGACAGATGACATCAACGGTCGAAAGAGTGAACAAGCCGCTCGTCAATCCACTTTCCCGCCAAATTTTCCCGCCATTTTCGAGCTCTAATAGAACTCGAGGACATTTCGAAATCTCAAGACAGGCCACTCGAATCTGACTTTTCGGTAAACTTGAAATATTTTGCCCGCGCGACGACATTGAACAAAGAATTTTTTGTTGTCACTTTTGACCCTTCCAGATGCTTGGGTTCCATGATTGCAGGCGGTATGCAATAACACACTGAGCCATCGGCACCAGATTTGAAAAAAAGCACATGAAGAAGGGGGGGGGGGAGGAAATCCTGTGTTCAATTTCGTCGCGTGAGCAAAATTATTATTTGAAAATTTAACGAAAAGTCAACTTCGACAGATGGCCTCAGACCCGAAAGGAAAAATGAAAAAATAAAAAAACTGTGCAAAATACGTAATCGTAAAAGAAATGTACCCAACAAAAAAAGAGTGCAAAATAATCGAAACGTCCTTCGCCCGACACGCTTGATTGATTGGTTTATTGATTTGATTGGTTGATTGACTGAAGACAATGTAGGTAGATGGAGAATGTGGAGATAAGATAGATAGATGGATGGTCGAGATCATCACTTGCAAAAGCATTACACAAGAAAAAAAAAAGGCACTTGCAAAAATTAAAACAAAAAAAAAGCACTTCTGAAACCTGTCATCGTTGCCATCAGCGCCGCCACGACAACGAGCCACGTCATCGGTGCAACGTCAGAAAGACGGTCACACTGCATCGTCACGTCACTATCTTGATGAGACTATAGACGGCTTCACCATCACCATCACCATCACCATAGCCATCTCCATCACCATCGCCTTCATTACACCTTGAGATCCCACCATCGCTCACAATTAACTCAACCCCATCGTCATCATCAACATCACCATCACGTAACTGGTCCGGCCATCGCCACGTGTCTATCTCACACGTCATCATCGCAACCGCATTCTCATCCTCACTACTACATCATCATCGCCACCATCATCGCCATCGCCATCGCCATGGCCATCACCACCACCACCTTCACTACACCTCGAGGTCCCACCATCGCCACGTCTCTATTTCACACGTCACCATCGCCCGCATTGTCACCTTCACTACTACACCATCATCGCCATCGCCATCGCCATCACCATAGCCATGTGTCCAAGTCATACCCAGCATCATCAATCCAATGTCGACGGCACCATCACTATCAACGCAGCTCCATCACCACCATCGGCCTCATGTCAGTCAGTATCGCCACGTCATCATCGCCATCCCCATCGCCATCCCCATCGACATCACCATAGCCCCCAGGCCAGTCTCTTCTATCTCCACGTCATCACCGTCATGTCAGCATCGTCAATTGCTAAGAGACCTCCTCAGCACTTGAGTGAAGACGAGACAATCACGGCATCTTATCTCAAGAGGCCAAAAATAAGACACGTCAGCATAATAAAGGCGGGAGAGGGGGACAAAGATCTGTATATTTATATACTATGTTTGGCTATATACATACACATATATATATATAGATAGATAGATATATTATATATATATGACGAAACAGTTTGTCACAGCCCCTCGTTTGTTGTCCTCTTCTCTCTCTCTGCCTACGGTTTTACCGGGCAGTTCTGTTTGCGACGATATATATTAATACATACTAATGTATCACTGGTTGTCGTAAAATGGGCCTACAAAGGAGACAAATAGAAAAAAGACAGGGACAAACGCGACAGATCAGGATGCGAGAAGGGGTAGACATAAGAGACACGTCAGCACACCACATACCGAGCACCACAGCAATGACAATACGTAAAAGACAAAAAAAAGCAGGGAAACGTTGCAACGGCATGATGGAAACCCTACTCTGACCAGGATGGGAGAAGAGGAGCGATTGAGAGAGAGGGGAGGAAGTGGGGAACGAAAGACGAGGAGGAAATCCCGCGACATCGACGATCAGGTGGAAGGCTATGTTCCCAAAAACTCCTGTGCAACCGAATCGACATCAAATGCACTTCAAGATTCTCTCTCTCTCTCTCTCTCTCTCTCTCTCTCTCTCTCTCTCTCTCTCTCTCTCTCTCTCTCTCTCTCTCTGTGTGTGTGGAAGAGATGGGTAATCCGAATCGTAAAAGCCGATCAATGAACTCCTTGCTGCACAATACTGTTGCAAATGCGGGAGGCCAATACATAATACATATACAGTGAAAGACAGAGCAAAAGAGAGAGAGAGAGAGAGAGAGAGAGCAGGATAGGCACTGCCTCTCCCGAGAAGAAACAAAGGCAAAGTTGTTAGTTTAACAAGCAAACAATCCGGTCCGTCATTAACAGAAAAAAAGAGAGAAAAAAGAGAAAGAAGGAGACTTACACTTCAACCTTTCCCTTCTTCGGTTTGGGCTTTTTGTTGTCGACCTCCTCCTCCTCTTCATCCTCCTCTTCATCTTCCACCTCACCGTCGGGATCCTCGCCGTTATCGTCTGCTCCATTCTCCCCAGCATCATCATCACCCTCCTCTTCTCCGTCCTCTGCCGTCGCCCCTTGATTTAAGTACGCCTCCAAGTGTGACCTTATGAACAGCTTCTTCTCCGACAAGTCTGCCCCCAATTCCTCTTCCAACTGCTTCCTTAAACTTCTCTCTGTTGTCGTACTTAGATCCGTCTTCGCCAGCAGCGCCTTAAGCCTGCTGAGTATCTCTTCATCC